CGATCCCTCAGCTACAAGGGCCTTGGCGGTTTCACTGAACTCTGCTCACCATGCTGACTCTGACAGCATTCTTTATTTCTAGTGCATAGTGACTTCCCTTTCTTAGCTCTGGCACAGCTCTGCTTCTTGGTTTTTAATTTGGTTGTATTTTATCCAGTGTTTATTTGTGTTTGTGTGTTTGGAGCAGGCAATTGGGAGGAGAGACCTATTCCTCATCAGCTCAGTCTGCCATATTGCCTCAAAGTCCAAAACAGTCTGCTAAGAGAGGCTCTGGCACTCACTGTCACTTCCTGGAAACAAAAGTTGGATTTCAGACATGCCAAGATGTGAGCTGTCAAAGGAATATGTGAGCAGAGGGCTCTGTGGGGCCAGCTTGGGAACTTGGGTCCAGGGCTTGGAGAAAGACTGGGGTGAGAGTGAGGAAGCAGCCACCACTGGGGCACAGAGGTGATGGCTGAAGCTCTCCAAGCCAGTGACATCCCCAAGGGATGGGAGACGGATTGGGGAGAGTGGGAACTGGAGTCAGAGCCTCCAGAACACTTCCATCCAGTGGATGGGAGGAACAAAAGTAGTCAGGGCGGAGCCAGCTGCCAGAAAGGCAGGACGGGAACCAAGCCAAGCAAAGAGATTTTTCAAGAAGAGGGTGATGAACATTGTCCAATGTTGCAACGATGTCAAGGGAGATGAGGATGGTGATGTCAGCAGAGTCCATGGTTGGGGACTCCTGAGAGGCAGAGCAGGCAGGGCCTCTGAGGAATGTCTGGAGAAGGGGTAATGGGAGGGTGCAAATGTTGGTTTCCTCTGCCTTTCATCTTCTCACCCCCTCACCCATCTCGCCTCCTACCTGAGCCAAGGCTAGGGAAAGCCTGAAAGAGGCAACCCATGCCTGTCACCACCCTCTCAGCATCAGAGGGGAGCTACTGGGACACTTCCCGAATGAAAGACTCTAAAATTCAAACTACGAACACATGTGCCCTCGTAGGATATTTGCAAAGTAGCTATTCCCGGAACTGCAGCTCAATTCTGTGCCCCCAGATGTCTAGGAGTGAGAGCCCTAATCCTGAAAGTTCCCCTTCCAGGTCACCACCCTGCAGATCAGGTCTTCTGTCCTCCCAGCCAAAACCCTCAGTTTTCACTTTGCTGCTGCAGATGAGTCAAAATCTCTGGATCAATTCAGTAGGAAAGAGTGAATCATAATAGGAACACACACAGAGCAAGCTGTGCGTGCGTGTGCGTGTGCGTGTGTGTGCATGCATGCGTGTGTGCGAGTGCGTGTGCGTGTGTGCGTGGGTATGTGCATGGGTGTGATGTGAGCACGTGACTGTAATTACTATAATGGGTGACTCACCCATTCTCCACGAATCCCATACCCCCAGGTCACTTATAAATAAGTCAGTTTCCTCTTGGGACTGAGTTCCGCCATTTTCCCAGTTGCTCAAGTGCGAAACCTAGGAATCATCCTTCACTCCTTTCTTTTCCTCCCCTCCAGCATCCCATCCACCACAGACGCTGCCAGGTCTCTCGAGAATGCCTTCCCTCTCAGTCTACTTTTCTCCATGTCCACTGCCACTGCCTCCACCCCTGCCGCCACCACCGCTCTCCTAGATTCTGCCTAATCGCCTAACTGGGCCCCATTTCCCCTGTGGGCCCCTCCCAGAGTCCCCTACTTAACTGGATTCCCACACAGTAGCAATAATAATTAAAAAACAAAAGCAACTGTAAGCCAGATCATGTCAGTCTCCTGTTTAAAACCCTTTCCTACACTAAGAATACAACCTAACTCCCCTCCCTGGCCCTGAGCCCTTCATGACCAGACCCACCTCCCACCCACGGCATCTTATACCAATCACCCCCCCGGCCCACGGTGTTCCTGCCCCAGCGGCCTTTGCATTTCTTGCCGCCTCGGGCTTTGCACTGGCTGTGCCCTCCCTCTGGAATGCGAGAGTCCTCACCTTGGCACAGCTGGCTCCCTTTGTTACTCGGGGGTCAGACAGGCCTTCCCTGAACACACGGTCATTTCTATCACATCCTCCCGTTTCAGGCTTCTGACCATTCTGTTCCCATCTGACAGTTCTTTGTTCATTACTTCATGCATTCAACAAACACTGATCGCTTCTTGTGCCAGGCAGACTAGGCATATGTTTATAATCCCTCAATAACATGTCTGTCTCCTCTGAATAACATTTAAAAAAAAAAAAAGCTCATGAAGACAGGGGCCTTGAGCATAGCCTTAGGGCCTGGCATGGAGGGGACATTCAATAAATATTTGATTTGCAGAATGAATAAGTACACACGGTAATGTGTACTCAGGAAATCAGAATTGGCTGATACAGCTTCTAAGGTCCCATGGCTTTGAGGCAGCCAGTATTCCAAAGTGGCCCCAGTGCTGGGATAAATCAGACCCTGTCTGTATTTTTCCAGGCTAGCAGGTGATCCTCTCCCTGTTTGTGCATCTAGACAGCATTTACTAAGGGCCTACTATGTGCAGGCCTGTGCTTGGTGTCAGTCTCCGTCCTGTCCCAGCTTACTCAGCTGCTGGCACTCAGCATCCAGCAGGGACCAGACAACAGGCTGCCCTGTTCTACAGTGAATGACCAACTGACCCTTGCTGGAGGTCACCCATGGTGCAACCAAGTGGCAGGTCTCCTTGCACACCTGTAACTCACTTCTGTTCAAGAAGTTTCCCAGGTATCCAGGCTTTCCATGCAATGCCAGGGAGCCAATACTGCCCTGTCCCCTGGCAGGGAACCAGACCCACATCTCCAGAACCACTTCCCAAGCAGTGTGTCCATTTCTTTATGCCCCATGCGCAGCCTGATTCCAATACCAGGTTCTGTCACTGCCATGTCATCTGGCATGCTGGCCAAGAACATGGACTATGGGGTCCAGCAAGGCAAGGCTGCCTCACATCGGCTCTGGCACCCACTAACTCTGTGATCATGGACAGGTCACTGTACCTCTTGGAACCTCAGTTTCCTTTTCTGCTAAACGAAGACTATAAAAACTACAGCAGTGCCCCCAGTGTTCCTGCTCCTCCCTATTCTGTGGGCCATGAGGTCTCACCAGTCCCAGATCAAAAGACATGTGGCAGAGGGGAAAGAGCTCTTTTACTGGCAACATTTATATGGCTAATCTTATTACCAGAAATTAAAAGCAAGAGAAGGATTCAATTAGCACAATAAATATACAATTCAAACAACAAGTGTATACTGAGCTGGGCATCAGGGATACAAGGAAAAATCAGACTTCATCATGAAGTAAAGCAGTCAGAAGGGGGAGGCAGACCTGTAAACAAAACTACAGAGCAGATGTGCCACGTGCTGTGTAAAAACAGGTGAGGAGAGAGTGTCAGGGATACAATGCAGTCGTCGATTCCACTGGCCTGGGGTGGGCAGGATGAAGGGAAAAGATGATGTGTTTGGCCCCTCCATTTCCCAAATGCTTTGTGCAAGCCAATGTCCTTGGATTAGAAGGACAGGTGGGTGAGAGGTGGCTTGTGAGACTCCCTAAGGCCCTCACCAGCTATAAACTCAGAGGAGTCACTGAGAGTCACAATATCACTGACAGTAAGGCTTATGCACCATGAGATTCATAATTCATTCCTCTGGGTCCACATACAGCTCCCAGCAGTTCAAGAAACAATAACAGCATCTAAATGATGGAAAATTCATTTGAAAAAAGAATCTCCAAGCAACTTTTGAAAAAAGCCTCATAGCTCAGATGGAGTCGGGGAATCACAGGGCTGGCAGCAACTGCAAGACCAGTGGCTTCCAAACTTGCTTTACTTCCAAAGCCATTGCTCAACTGAAACTCACCCAGAAGCCCAGTACACATGACTGATACAGAATTGCTCTGGTGGAAATAGTGTCCGACTGTCTGCTTGGTACCCTCCCTCTTCTCGTCCAGTCCCTGGTAGCCCCCACGGCAGCTCCCAGGAACCCCTGGGGCTCCAAAAGTATTGATGGAACCCGCTAGGCCAACCTCTGTGAGTAGATATGGGAAACAAGTCCCACAGAAGTCACACTCTTAACTATGCCTGAACACAGACCCAGTTTTCGGAGTCCGAGCTGATGTTTCTCACCCGGCTTTGTTAGAACTAGATCTATGGAAAACTGCACTTTAAAGAAACAAGGCTCAAATCTGATCACCTACAGCATAATCCCTAAGCAGTTTAAAAGCCTGAGAACTAGCCAAGCATGACATGGAGCTGAGCCCCGCCGACTGGCAGAAAGAAGTTGGGAAATGAGTTGCAGAAGCACAGCTGACAATTCCACAGTTTCCTTCAGTTCCGCGGGACATAAACAGGTCTTGAAATGCCTGGGCTGCGTGGCTGTGAGACCCTGGACCAGCAGCCAGGAGGTGAATGCTAACGAGCTATGGAAATAGCAAGTACTTTCCCCATGCCAGGCACCGTGCCAAGCTGAGGATAAAGAGGTCTGAGATATTTTTAAAGTATTTTTACAGCAGAAAAACTTTCCTACAGACTCAATTATATAACAATCAGACTCCACCTTTGCGCTGAAATTATCCATGGCCTTCAGAAAAAAAAATCACTTTTCCTACATGAGGGTCACAGGTTTCTCCGGAGAAACTACTCACTATATGGCCAGCAACCCACGGCAGCTGCAAACCATCAGCCCAGAGGCCTTCCCAAGCAGAGTCTGGCGCCTGCCAAGAAGAATGCCAGCCAAGCAGAGGGCAGAAGTCATGCTGCTGACCCGGCCATCACACAGGACGTGGTAGGGCAGAGGAAGGTCCATGCTAGGGGGCTTCCAAGCCCATCCACGCCAGTGTCCTCACAATTTCCTGACCCCAAATGGGGCTGAGGTCACTGGAGGAAAGCGGATGCCCAGGGAACACTGCATTAGCCCACAGTCATCCTCTGTTGGTGGCGATAGGCAGACAGTCTGAGAAAGCCTTCTGGGGCTGAAGGAGTGAAGAGCTTCACCAGAGAAATGACAGTCAGAATCAGAGGGACGGACTTGGGAAGATGAACTTACAGCCCAGGTCTTCGTCAGCCTGAAGATGGGTGCGCTTTGTAACGCAGACACCACCGACATGAGAGAATGAAGGTTGTTGAGTTCTAGAAGTTTCTGAAAAAAGATATGGAATAGATTATTTTGCTGCTACAAACAACAGAACAAAAACACACTCAAGTGTTACCAAATGTTGTGATATTTATGAAATTCAATTGCACTTAAAAATATCTCCTGTAGAAAATATAGTTCTAGGAAAGTTCATAGAAACCATATGCTCCTTTTCTTTCAAATTGTCACAAGGTGAGTTTGCATCTTCAACATTTGTAACATTTCATGAGCTGACCAGTCTGGCTGTTGGACAGAAACATGTGGCTCAGGAGGAGGTTTGATAATGTCTTTATGTTCTTTTTTTAGACAAATGTGAACAGTCCCTGCAGGCTTTTGTAAACTGAAACCCCAGCTGTGCCAACAGTATTGACCTGGGTCTTCTGTGATCACCTTGACACAGGAATGAGAGGGGCTAAGGAAAGACATTATCCATCCACATAATCCCCCTCAGCTGGCTGGACAGAGCTCTGACTTTCCAACCACTTGACCATGCTCCTCTGAACCAGACCCTGAATTAGTAAGAACATTTGGATTCAATTCAGTCTCAGACAAGCTCCTTGCCATGGAGGGCAACAGAAGGAGACACAGTTGAGAGTAAGTGCAGAAAAATGTAATTCCTCTGCTCTTGGTTCTATGCCGAGGGAAGCCTGCTAACAGGACTGGGGGTCCATTTTCATTCTTGGGAGTCTGTGAAGTTTGCGTTAGCAAGCAGGCCCTATGGAGCCAATCCTGGCTCCCACTACTGTGTCCTTCAGCACAGGTCACTGCTTCTGAGCACTATTTCTGAGCCTTGGCACCCTCATATTTAAAACGAGGAAGGTAATCAGGGCCCCGCTGCTGCCTAGGGCAGCTCACGCAAACTGCCTAGAGCAGTGACTGACACCAGGGTGAGCACTCAGGGAGATGTGGGTTGCTCATTCTTAGTCAGGAAGACGTCCCCCATGTCCCCGTCACTCACCTTGGGTGATTCCAAGCTCAGATGCTACTTCCTCTACTATGTCTTTCCTGACCATGTTCCCAAGTCTGGGGAACCCATCCGTCTGATCCCACAACAGTCTGTGCATCTACTTAGCACAAGAGACTGTGTGTTCCCTGAAAGTCGGGACAAAGTTGTGTCTGCCATCATGTCCCCAGTACCTAGCACAGCACACAGTAGGGCCCAGTGAAATGAATAAATGGAAAGCCCTTTTGCCTAGTCTTCATGGCTCTGTTCCTACTCATAGATGTCTCCCTTACCACGCAGTTCATACTTCATTTCACACATCTTGTAACATTTTCTAATTGTTTCCTGTCATGTAGTAATAGATTCTCTGTGTGAATTGAATTTCGTCTTACATAACTGAATTACTATACCTGTCACAGACTTTCCTTAGAGCTGAACGTCCTCTGGGAAGTGATTTAATCCACCCCTTTCATTGTGTAGACAGGAAACCAAGGCCCAGAGAAGGAGGGGCCTGAACAAGCACACTCCCAGGGCACAGTGCAGTGTGGTGACCCACCATTGGAAGACAGCAGAGGCTAAAAAGGGGTCATTTTAGATCCCTTGGGTGGGGACCATAAACTCATTTACAAACTGAAAGCACCAGGTGGGCTGGAACTTAGTCCCACTTTCTCACGTGGCCCAGCATGAACTCACTAACAGCAATAGTATCATGAAGCCCAGCCTGGCCCAAGTACTTCAGATGTGCAGGACATAAAAGTATCTGTTGCCCCTACCACACATACTTTATAGATGGATGCACTTAACCTTCCTGGGAGGGAGGGGCAAAAGAGCAGCTCCCCTGAAGGCAGAGGGGTGCTCCAACTGACTCTCTGGAGCCCTGGGCACAGATCGTCATCTTGCTAAGTCTCCCCTTCATCCTCTGGAAATGGGATAAAAATCATGTAAGTATTGGTGACGATCATTTCAGTAAAGCGCCAGTTATGGTGCCTGGCTCATGTGGGGCAGTAAAGGTTAGCTGGCCTAGAATGTGGGCCGGAAGACAACACACGCACACGAAGCAAGGAATGAACCCGACAGAACAGTGCTCTGTCGAGAGTCGGGCAAGCTTGGAAGCTGGGAGGAGTTGGCAGGTCTGTGTAAGTGATGAGAGTGGTCCAGAAAGGCCCCTGGGACCACAGCCTGGGCTGGCAGAGATAAGGGAAGAGGAGGGGAAAGGTGGGATGCAGACGGGAGCCTGGTACCCAGCAACTGACAAGGACAGAACCTATCAGGCCAGGAGGCAGGAGCTGGGAGTAGGAGCAACAGGGTCATCCAGCTCAGGCCCTAAGCTCAGGATGGGTGGGGTGAGCTTTGCTGACTGGGGACAAAACTGTGCAGGATGTGATGGTATCACAAACGTCGATGCTAACCGAAACCCACCAACACCCAGCGCTGGCTAAATCTGAAGAGGATGAATGGATCCCAAGGGTAGCGCCTGGGGCCTCATGGAGAATGTGAAAGGCCAAAGGGAATACTGGCTGCCAGAATCATGGAGGGGCATGCTGCCAGTGTGTGGTGGGCGCAGGGAGCCCACATGGCCATCCAGGCTGGCCTCACAGCTGCCTCTGTCTAGGGAAGTCAGGTCACAGCTCCCTGTTTGAACCCTGCCCAGCAGGCCCAAAGCAAAGCTGCTCCCAAATTACTGAGGAAACACATTTTTGAGATAAAGAA